TGGGAATGGAGATTTTGCAATATCCTTCCCCTGCCACGCCCACCAAGCACACCACGCCCACCAAGCCACACCCACAGAACCGTTAGTTAAAAAATTTGGATTTCACCACTGCTCCAAGGTCCCTTCAGCTCTATTCTGATTAAGTACCATGCCAACAATATTACGAAAAGGACATTCTCCCTTATTTTCTCCTCAGTATTAGGACTCCTGTGTATCTGTTTTATGAAAATCAAGAGAGATTTTTCACCATTTTAGGAACATGAGATAAATCTGTCTGTATCTGCCATAAATTATACTATGGAGCATCAAGAGATGTACTGCAGTGAAACTCCTAAATTTGTTCCTGGCACGATGCGTGGCATAATTCTTTTTTAATCTCGTAAGCATAAAAAGGGGATATATGTGGCTCTTTAGCCTAATCCTACAGAACCCTTTTCATATTTTCAGTGTGTCCTGCAATTTAATTTAAATGGCAATTATGTCAAAAGTGTGAATGAAATCAAAGTGTCAAATGTCATATAACTTGTTCCAGAGAGAGAGAAATGATACATTTGGCAATTCTAAGGCTTTGTGGACCTGAAAACAATAAATTAACACTCTTTTCCCCATGTTAAGCAGAAGTGAGAAGTATACTTGAAAAGTGGGAAAAAAATGTCCTGTCAAGCAAAACTTGAGCAGGTTAATTTCATCATAGTAAAGCCAATAATCATAATGGGAGCTCTTTTGTGTTTCTGTATATTTTTAAAGTAAGAAAATGTTTTTGATTTGAAGTAAATATATCTTCTTGATTTGAAATAATGTACCTATACAATTGAAAAATAGTTTTTCAAACAATAAGTATTAACCATTATATAAGCGGAAAGAGCATTTTCCCAGAATTATTATAGTACCGTTTTAGAATATTAGCAAAAAGGTTATTTTTGGTAAGTTACTCTTCCAATTCCTGTAAAAAAACAAAACAAAACCCAGGAGCAAAAATACCCCTCAGAGTGTCTTGCTTCACACAGCACTTAACTCCATAAAGTGGTTTGATTAGTTTTGATTTATAGTATTACATGAAGCCAGTTATTGTGGTTTCTATGTCATGATTTATAGCTTACTTGTGAAAAACTAATCAATTGCAATTTATATATTAAACTTAAGCAATGATTTCAAGTAATACATAAACAGAGACTGACAATATGGCTAGTGGTGCTGGTACCAGCACCACTAAATATGGCAACTTTAAGATGTTTGGACTTCAACTTCCAGACTTCAATTCCCAGAATTCCTCAGCCGGACTTATTACATATTGCCAGCGGAATTCTGGGAGCTGAAATTTACACATCTTGAGGTTGTCAAGTTTAAGAAACACTGAGCTAGAATATCACATGTTTATATATGTCCGTTGCTGATAGGTAATTTGCTTATTACTTTTTCCTTGAAATTGCTTAAAACCTCTTTTTCTCTAGTCTGTATTTCTTTACCATGACCATATAGGACATTTCTGAAATAGCATAAATAAATGAGAATCCTGACTTTGATACTAGGGAATTTTCAAATTTACACATGGAACAACTTAATGTAGTCTGTTTAATGCAATTATTTCATGCATTATTATCACCACCTTTTCTTCCTCTGTACTGTTGGGAGCAAAAGATGTGATACATGGTAGGAAAAACTCAAGGGATATTATTACAAAATAGTTTGAGTTATCCATCACATCATATTGTGAGAGATCGGGGGAGGAAAAAGACATGAATCTCCCTTTGATGATAACTTGTATGTAATTTAGATAACTTGTATTTAATTTAATCTAATAAATTAGAGCCTTGGTGGCGCAGCAGACTAAAACTGCTGTTAAAATAGCACTTAGCTGCCAGCTGCCTGCAATTACTGCGAGTTCAATTCTCACCAGGCTCAAGGTTGACTCAGCCTTTCATCCTTCCGAGGTAGGTAAAATGAGGACCCGGTTTGTGGGGGCAATAAGCCGACTTTATATAAAATAGAACACAGCTTAGGGGGGGGCCAAAAGGCCCTACTAAGCAGGTATATACAAAAGTATGAAGGCTATTGCTTAAAGCATTTTAAGCTGCCCTGAGTCTCCGGAGAATGGCAGCATATAAATCGAATGAATGAATCAATGAATCAATGAATGAATAAATTTTGTCATGTGTTGTGAAAACAAGGGAAAGATAGCTTACATTTGGTCAGTGATAGGGATTTGACTTCTCTTATCAGGGTTATTCTGATGTCAGAAGAAAGAAATAGGAGGGTGTTTGTTTTCTTTTTACTTTTCACTTTTGCTGTTCAATTTCACACCTTGAATAGAATTCTATGAGGCCAAGAAGAAATTACCTAAGATGCACTAAACTGACTGGAGTTTGGTGCCGTATCTTAAACACACTGCTGTGTAAGTGTTGGCAAGATATTTTCCTCAAGCGTTGGCAGAAATCTTAAACCTACATTATGTTCTATATTTTTAAGAATCTTATTTTCTTTTAGAATTACAACAGATAATTAAACAATGTTCTTCTAATCATGCTATTGGAATCAATTTATTATAGAGGAACATGTTTCCATTGTGGGTGTCTGCAAAGAAGAATCCTCGACATGTGACCATAATGGAGCCTTCCCATTACAGAAAAAATATCGTAATGGTCATAAAATGATCGGTCATGTGACTGACCTAATTTTACAACTTTTTTTTTTTTTTTTGCAGCAATCCAATGGTTCACTACCGGTTTGGCTTTGCTGAAAACCAGAAGTAGCAATTTTTGGTAAAACCATTATAAAATACAGTCACGTGGAATGCTGCAAATTACCGTATTTTCCGGTGTATAAGACGACTGGGCGTATAAGACGACCCCCGACTTTTCCTGTTAAAATATAGGGTTTGGGCTATACTCGCCATATAAGACTACCCCTCTTCCAACGCACACCAAATAAAAATTAAAAAACATCAATTGGCTCACCCACAATGTAAAAGCAGCTGTGCTAGACCCAAAATGGCCCCTGCAATAAGCAGGAACCTCACACAGCCACAAAAAGCCCCCCCCAAAAAAACTTTCACACTTTACACACAGAAAATTCCACATACAGCTTTGTGAGATTTTGTGTGTTTGTGTAGTTAGAGTGAAACACTATAGAAACACACTAAATCTCAGAAAGCTGCACAAATATTATTTTATTTTAATTTATTTTTATTTTTATATAAAAGCAGCTAAATTTAAAACTTCCTAAACTTTAAATGGCTAGGTCTAAACAAGAACAACTAAAAAAAACCCCAATTAACTATTTTTTTAAAGCTCCCAAAGGGGAAAAAACTTACCCAATAGAACAGGGGTCTCCAACCTTGGCAACTTTAAGACTTGTAGACTTCAACTCCCAGAATTCCTCAGCCAGCTTTGTTTTGCTGGCTGAGGAATTCTGGGAGTTGAAGTCCACAACTCCCTGCCTGCTTGATTGCAGGCAGGGAGTGGCTTGCTGATGGAATGGATTGCAGGCAAGCGAAGCAAGGCAAGCATTGCGACTAGCAGCTAAGGTAAGCAAGCTGGAGGGGGAAAACTTTTTTTCTTTTACATGGTGCTGGCGATCCAAGCTGAGTTGCCTGATTAGCAGGCAACTCAGCTGGGATCGTCAGAGCTTGGATCGCCAGAGCTATGTAAAAGAAAAAAACTTTTTTCCTTTTACATGGCTCTGGCAATCCCAGCTGAGTTGCCTGATTAGCAGGCAACTCAGCTGGGATGATCAGAGCTTGGCTCGTCAGAGCCTTTTGGGCTGGTCTGCCTGGTTACAGAAGAACGACACCTGGCGTATAAGACAACCCCCGACTTTTGAGAAGATTTTCATGTGTTAAAAAGTCGTCTTATACACCGGAAAATACGGTACTGTATATGCAGCCATGTTGCCCAGCAACTGAAGTTCGGTAATGTGACCACAGATGGAGCCTGACCATTTGAACTTCGAATCTGGTTCCTAAGTCCCCCTTTTTCAGGTGGCTCATAACTTTGCACAGTTTCTAAGCAACTAGTCATAGGTTCAGGACTTTTTGTACAGAAGTGTAAAAAAGAATAGGTAGATCAAGCACAAAACCAGAGTTTCCTTTTCTTCTAATCTGCTACAAGTAAACACTTCTTCCCTAGCAAGGTGATCTCTAGAATCACAAAGTTTAGAATCACTGCAGCTTTCAGCATTCTCAAGCATTGAAGAGCTGTGATGGTTAGGAATCTAGCAAATGGTGAGCCAGACACATCTGGAGGGCATCAGAAGGGGAGAGTTAATCTAGTACAATTTCTGAAACAGGAGCATGATCCATTGTCCTCTACTATGGTGAACTTCCTTCCTTTCTTTCCCTTGTTTGAACTCTTAAGTGCATTGCTTTGCTTTCTCTTTTTCCTTTTTATCCTGTGATTATTCATGGATAGACAAAATTTGAGGACTAACACTGAAACAAAGCCTCCTAATTTTCTCAGAAACCAAAAAAAAGATACTGGTGATGCTGCAACTGGACCAAGAGGGACATGCCAAGACTGTTTACTTACATTTTGATTTTGGGAGGTATTTAAGAAGGAGAATGGAAAAAGGAGGATTTCCAGAAACAAAAAAAGAGTTTTAGTGGTGAAATGTTGGCAGTGGTTTCTGCTCTCTGGAACTATTTCCCCCTCCCCTATATATGACACCCCAAACTCTTCTTGCCTTTAAAACACACTTAAAATTTGGCTCCCCCCGCCCCCAAGCATTAGTTGAGCGGGCGCCTCTCCTGTGAGTGGTTGAATGCTTGGTCACATTTTACATTTTATATTTATAAATTGTTGGCTTGGTAGGTGGGTTTTTTCTTTTTCTTTTTGATTTACTATGTTTATGTTGTATGGCACCCAGAAACGCACCAACGTTTGAAAGGTACAAAAGTATTTTGTGTAATTTCTATGGCCTACTGTATTTAAAAGGCAATTCTCTTGCTGATTTTTTCCCAAATGTCTGTTCATAGTAATTAATTAAAATACATGTTTGCTTCATAGGTTTTCTATGTTTGGGTGAAAGCAATTTATACCCTCGGACACAGTGTTTCTCTCATTGCTCTGGTCACAGGAAGCATCATTCTTTGCGTTTTCAGGTAAGTTTGTTGAAACGTGGCAGGGACTAAATATTTTGGAACAGTGGCAGAATAGGAGAAGGTAATGTTTTCACTTGTCACTTAACAGGTCCCTTGTTTTTATTTTAAATGAAGCCTCCTTTGATTCAAACTCAGTTTCTGGTGATTTGAAGGACATGACCATGTGGTTATCTTGGCAACCATATGGAAATTGTTTATTGTTGCCTTCTGGGGTATTTTTGGACTCTACAATTCTGGGATCTTCATCCAAAGTCTAAATAGGTTGGATGATGCTTAGTTACTAAGTCTAGGAAAGTCTGATCCAGATGTTGAGATTTTTCATTTTTTCAGATGTGTTTAATTGCAACCATGTAATTAAAATAATAAATGGAAAGCAGCTGGTTTGGTGCAGATCAAAGTACCATTCTGCAGTATCACCTACATTTGTAAAAATCCTTTCGGAATCCAGGCAAGGCCTCTAAATATATAGTTGAATATAGTCCTATGCTTTGCCAGCTCTCTGAAGCTCAGGATCTTGAAATCCAGCAAGGAGGCCCACCTGCTGAGGAAAATAGGTGAGTGGGTGGGGAGATCTAAAGGAGATAATGTGGGACAATCTTATTGAATTGCGTTCTGAAGAAGAGTTGTTTTGAGACTGGCTGTTTTCATCAACTCAGCCATTTCCCGAACGGGCAGAGCTTTCCCTTGACAGCCATTTTTATGTGAGTAGTACCAACATAATATCAAAATTCCTAATGTATCCAGAGCCTAAAATGGATTTAGATCAGCAGCAGCCATAGAAAATTTGATTAGTGAACCTAATTTTAACTGGGCAGTGTTGTACTACAGAAAGCTTGTGAGTTCAGGGGCAAATTCTAGAGAAGATTGCTAAAGATAATTGTTGGGAAAGACATAAAATGAAAGACAGGATGCACTGAGGGTACTCCCCCCCACACCTTGCAAAAGACGTCCCCAGGGCCAATGAAGTCAGAAGATGTTCTACCAGTTAGAGTCATGAAGGAAGGCAGTGCCAATCGTATGAAAAAGAGGACAGGCAGCCAGGATATATTGAGTTCTTTATCATATATTTAGGATGTAAATAAAGAAAAGAGTAATTAGGAATTGCCATATGTACTTACATGATTTGTTGTTGTTAGTCGCAAAGTCGTGTCTGACCCATCGTGACCCGATGGATAACATTCCTCCAGGCCTTCCTGTCCTCTACCATTCTCCAGGAGTCCATTTAAGCTCACACCGATTGCTTCAGTGTTTCCATTCAGCCACCTCATTCTCTGCTGTCCCCTTCTTCTTTTGCCCTCAATCTTTCCCAGCATTAGGCTCTTCTCCAGTGAGTCCTTCCTTCTCATTAGGTGGCCAAAGCATTTGAGTTTCACCTTCAGGAGCTGGCCTTCTAAAGAGCAGTCAGGGTTGATCTCCCCTAGGACTGACCGGTTTGTTCGCCTTGCAATCCAAGGGATTCTCAGGAGTCTTCTCCAGCACCATAGTTCAAAGGCCTCAATTCTCTGGCGCTCAGCCTTTCTTATGGTCCAACTTACATGATAGAGCAATAATATAGATTGCAAATATACACAGTTTAAAAAAACATATTTAGTAGTAGTAAAGAGTTATCCCTGTAAGGAGGCATCTTAAAGAAGTGAGCACTGAAATGCAATTATCTAATTGTAAAATTAGGTTCCCCCTTTGATGCAAAGGATGTTCTTCTCCTGTGAAGAACATTTGAGTATTTGCCAAAAATATGTACCCCCAACAGTGTCCCCCAAGACATGAAGGTAATCTTAGCAACTTGCTAAGCCAACGTATTGGGCAACAATAATATAAGAAGATGCTAAAGGTGGATTATCACTTTAGTAACAATGGCAAAGTCATCATTTCATACTGCATAGAAGAAAACAATATAAACACTCACATATTTTACCAAATAGACCACATGAGTAAGTAACAGTGGAATGTTTTTAAGAAAATTAGTACCCCAGAAATCTCACCATCTTTACAAAGAACAGGAAGATGCAGTCTGGATGGAGCATGTAGAAATAATCTGGCTCTTGAAAAGTAGATTACTCTAGGAGGTTTAACACATCTATTTTAAGGGAATTTTGTTTTTGTTTAGTTGCTAAGCCATGTCCTCCATTGCCTCCTGGAGTTTCCCAAATTCATGGTCATTGCATCAGTGATATTATCTAACCATCTCATCCACTGCCATCCTTTCCTCCTTTTGCCTTCCATCTTTCCCAACATCAGGGTTTTTTCCAACGAGTCCTCTTTTCTCATTATGTGACCAAACTATTGCAGTTTTCAGCTATTTCAGTTCAAAGGACTCCCAAGAATCTTCTCCAACAATTCAAAAGCATCAATTCTTTGGCACTTCCTTATGATCCATCTTTCACATTGGAAGGAATAATTACTCCAAAACCCAGCTCTTTCAAAAACAGGCCAAAATGCTGGGCTTACCCCTTCACAACTGTTAAACTATGGTTCCTCCTTGCAACCCTCCAAGGAGAGAGAGAAAAATGAAAGGCATCCCTGCCTTAAAATAAATCACTGTAACAATTCTTTCAAGTTAAAACATAGCCATCAGTTTTTCTTAGTTTTCAGTGGAATCCCTCAAGATCCCTCATTTGTCATACAAGAACTTGCAAACTAGAGTAACTTCGCATTTTAGCAACTATTTAAATTTTATGCCATTTGGATGGAGCATGAGACACCCTGATCCTTCACTGCTAGCTTCAATGTATGGTGCCTCAGGACTTTCTGGACCCCTAAAAGCAGAGGTTTTGGCATTATTATGTCTCAACAGTAAAGTTGATGCTTCTTGTAGAATAGCAGAGGGCAAAGCAGAATATAAGCATGGGGCCCTCAGGAGTTATAATCTTTTCTTAATTGTTATTATCAAATAACAGAAGGTAAGTAGAAAGATCTTCAGCTTCATACTTTGGTTCCAGAAACTGCATTGTTTTTCTCTTTCCATATGTAGAAAACTTCACTGCACTCGGAACTACATACATTTGAATCTGTTCCTGTCTTTCATTTTAAAGGCAATCTCTGTCTTAGTTAAAGATGAAATCCTCTATTCCGACACTAGCACAGATAAGTGTTCAGATCATGCTTCTTGGGTAAGTGAAAAAGTTGTTTCATTTGTATCACGTCCATGATCTTTGAGATCGTTGTAGGTTATAACAAACCTTACATGAGATGACTACCAGCAAGGGTAGTGAGGCTTCTGTTGGCGTGCTGGAAAAGAATTAGAACAGAATAAGATTGCAAGGGGGAGAAGTTATATATTTTGGTAATGGCTTCCTCTCTGCTTTGGAGAAGACAACATTAGATGCAGCTGATATGCAGATTGATGTGATTAAAATCAAGGTTCTCCTTCCTCAACCTTACATCTTGATCAGTGCTATACAGCATGTAAAGATTCCAAGGAATGTACAAGAGCAGTTGCTTGTATGTGTGTGTATGTGTGTGTGTGAGAGAGAGAGATTTGTGTTTTTATGCCTAATGATGTTTTTTTTAAAAAAAAATGAAAAAGGGGACCACATCAAGGGATGAAATGAATTTATCAAAAGAGATAGAAATAAGAAGTTGGAATGGGATCTGGAAGCCTTTATTTCAGGTTTAATAATTGTAAAATCAATACTGGCTAGTGCAATTGGCAAAAGCATTGTTCAATTCTCCATCTGAAACTTTGATCCGTCTATCATGAAGAATGGTTGCAGGAACTGGGCATGTCTAGTTTAATGAAAAGAAGGACCAGGGGAGACATGATACCAGTGTTCCAATTTCTCAGGGGCTGCCACAAAGAAGAGGGAGTCAAACTATTCTTCAAAGCATCTGAGGGTAGAATAAGAAGCAATGGTTGGAAAATAATCAAGGAGAGAAACAATTTAGAACTAAAGAGAAATTTCCTGACAGTTAGAACAATTAATAAGTGGAACAACTTGCCTGCAGAAGTTGTGAATGCCCCAACACTGGAAATTTTTAGGAAGATGTTGGATAACCATTTGTCTGAAGTGGTGTAGGGTTTCCTGCCTGGGCAGGGCGTTGGACTATTTATTTATTATTTATTATTTATTAATCAAATTTCTATACCGCCCTACTCCCGAAGGACTCAGGGCAGTGAACAGCCAAGATAAAATACAGATAATACAAATATTAAAAAATCCCTTAAAATTATTAAATATATCGGCCGAAACACAGATTAAAACACCCAATTTGTAAAATCACGAATTAAAAAAATTTAAAAATTTAAAAGATGGGAGTTAGGCCTAGGACTAGAAGACCTCTAAGGTCCCTTCCAACTCTGTTATTCTATTCCAAGATCATCATAGTCAAAATGCATTTTCTAACTTCCTAACAATGAGTAGTGCTAGAAATGGAAAGATAATTTGAATATTTTTTTTAAAAAAAAAATGAATAGTGATATGTGCGAGTGTGTGTATGTAATTTTGCCTGTCGACACCAGACAATATTAATCTATCAAGCATCTCAACTTTTTGAAATCGAGAAATAAAGATAGCAGCTCTTAGCATGCTTAGTTTGGGAGGAAGAACTCCTCCCAAAGGACATGGAAGGATTTATAGTGAAATTGCATGCAAGAGTGTTATAGCACATTACAACTCTGGTAAACCCAAAAGGTTTTACAGTGCTTGCAAGAGTGTCATAATGTATACAACCCAAAGGGAGAACTCTTAGAGAGCATTGTAGAGTATGATTTTCAGAGATGTTGCTACTCAGTATGAAACTCTTGTCTTGATGGAGAAGACAGCCTGAAGAAATACGGCAATTAAATAAATTTCACAAATCCATGGATATTACTATTCCATTCTCTTCTGCTTAATTAATGAGAACCAAGAATGTGATAGCAATTGGAGGAGTTTTAGTCTTCAGCATGAAGCTTCCTCATATGTAATCCCTCTCCTTCCCCTGTTAATTAAATTTGACATGGCTTTTCACAAAGTTACTCTGTGACAAAAATGCAAAACAAAGGATCACCTTTAATACTTTGCATGTTCAGCTTCATACAATTCAGATGAGAGTTACTGACTTAGCTAATTTAAGAAGGAACATTCTCCTCCTCCCCCTACTTCTGACTATTTCTTCAAAATCCTAACTTGTTGGCATTGTTGAAATAAGTGGTCCATGTGATAAAATATCTGCAGCAACGAATCACTTATGCTGTGCTCATTCTGGTTTACTTATACAATAGTCAAGCAATACTTTTGAGTTTTTCCTTGGGATTGTACATTCCATGAGCTATTTTTTGCTTCTGGCAAAGCTGCCGTAGAATAAACTAACTTTAAAAAGGGATGGGAACATGTTTCCCAAACCAAATTACTTCTGATTAACGGGTGGTCTTAAATACCTCTGCCGTCTTCTGATTCTCAAAGGAGATGATGTTTTTAATTCTTGGGCCTTTTTGCCCTGAAATCTGTAAGAAAATCGGAGAGAAATTTGATTTGTGAAGACAAACACAACATGATGAATATGCCACGCCGTTAGGAGGTAACAACCATGTACATAAGTCTCAAACCTCAATCTGACTTTGTATAAATATACAAAAGGATGAAGGCTATTGCTTAGCGCATTGTAAGCCGCTCTGAGTCTTCGGAGAAGGGCGGCATATAAATCAAATTAAAAAAAACTGGTTTTGAGAAGCACTTGGCATTTGCTTTCATTCATTGAACTAAGTCCAAAACAGTTGAAAGAGGCTGTTTCAGCCCATCAATAGCTAAATTCATGGAAGGAGAAATCTCTTGTCAAAGCTTGTATCTATCAAAAGAGCTTTTAAACAAAGGAAACCATTTACTGTGTTACAGCAGTTTCTTTGCATAAACATTTCATCCTTGATTTGTAACTTTCAGGTCGGCTGCAAGGCTAGTTTGGTATTTTTCCAGTACTGTGTAATGGCCAATTTTTATTGGCTCTTAGTTGAAGGACTTTATCTCCACATCCTCCTCATGATCATGTTCTCTTCTAACAGACACTTCACCGCATATCTCCTTACTGGATGGGGTAAGAAGGTCAATATAGTTATCTCTGTTTTTTATTCCCTTCCCCTCAAGATTAAAGGAGACTTTGGAATCCCATTTAGGGCTTCTAGAATTTGAGACTTGGCCAAACTCCATGTTGCCTGTGTTGGTATCTGTCCCATCTTTCACCCACTATTGTTTTGAAGGTTCAGGCAAGTGCAAAACTAATGGAGATGCATAGAGCTGTTGTTACATGGCTGACTGGATTTATGTGATTTGATGGGTTACAAATTTTTTAGACCCCTGACCTTAGTGCTGAGTCCTTGACTTATGACCTCAATTGAGCCCAAAATTTCTGTTGCTAAGCAAGACGTTTTATGACCTTTCTTTGCCACAGTGAATAATCAGAGTTATTAATAGCACAGTTATTAAGTGAATTTGGCTTCCCCATTGACTTTTGGTTGTCAGAAGGTCACAAAAGATTAATCACAAGATCCCGGGACACTACATACATAAATATGAGCTAGTTGCCAAGCGTCTGAATTTTGATCACTTGACCATGGGGATGCTACAGTGGTTTTAAGTGAGAAAAACGGTCATAAGTCCAGTGCTGTTGTAACTTTGAACAGTCACTAAATGAACTGTTGTAAGTCGAGGACCACCTGTACTTGGAGAGACAACTACAGAATTCCTAGAGGAGCATGGGGGAAATTCTCAAGTGAAACCAGAACTGTGCTGGAAAGAAGATTCAGAGTCACTGGGTAGGATAAAGTCTTGGCATCAATTGAGTAAACTTTAGTTTCCAGAAACAAAAATCAGGGAGTCATATTGGGGCACATTCAGTGAGCATTTCCAGTTGCTAAACACATTGGACAGCTGCTCATAGTTATATAGACCATTCTGGATGTACCGACACTTTAGCTGTTTATTGGATTTGGAGATCACTCCAATTGTAGATGACTAAGGATGGTTTAAAATACAGAGACAAGGACCAAATAGTAATGAATGTGTATCCAGAAAACTAAAAACAAGGTCAGTCTATTAGTGCTTTGCCTCAGCTAATTCTCATACTATGCCATATTTGAATACTTCATCTACAAAGTGATTTCTGTTTGCATGATTAATTTTGTCAAATCAAGTATTGATTATATATTTTCTTTTTTTTTTCCCTTGCTTCATCTGCTATGTCTCTCTTCCAGGAATCCCTACAATTTTCATCATCATATGGATGATAACTAGAGTCTATCTAGACAACAGTGGGTAAGGACGAATTAAATAGCAGCATATACACACTTCCAGGCTTCATTGTAAAATGGTTACATGATGTCCAAAATTTAATCCTGGATACATAGGTTGCAACAGGTAACACACTGGGGTGAAATGCTACTGGTTCGCGGAACTGGTAGTAAAAGAATGCTTTAAAAGGTAAAAAAAGAAAAGAAAAGAAAAAAAGTCGCACAGCTGATCTTTGGAACTTTAAAAAAAAACTTTTTAAAAACTTTTTAAGCATTTTTTTTACTACCCGTTGTCCGGAACCAATAGTTAAAAATGCTTTAAAAAGTAAAAAAAAAAAAAAAGTTCTGATGATCATGCGTCACACAGCTGATCTTCGGAACTTTTTTTTTTTTTTACTTTTTAAGCATTTTTTACTACCAGTTCTCTAGAACCAGTAGTAAAATAATGTTAAAAAAAGTTTTAAAACAGTTCTGAAGATTGAAAAGTGCGACAATCAGCTGTGCCCCGTGATTTATATCCGCTAAAAATCAGTAAATCCTGCTTTCTAGCGAATCTAAATCGCGCGGCACAGCTGTCCCCCGCCCCACGTCTCTGCTCTTCTACTTATCTTTGCAGATTCAGAAAAGGCTTCTTAGCGCCTGTAGTGCACATGCACACAAAGCATGAGTTCGGCACGCATGTGCACTTTGCACCCATGCACACGCAAAACAAACCGGTAGCAGACTTCAGAGCATTTCATCCCTGTAATACACATATATATGTTAAATATGAACTTGAATTGTAGTTGGCAGACTTAGTTACCTTTTCTTAACTAACAGCTTCTGTTTAATGCAGAATGCCTTATGGGAAACGAGGAGGATGTTTAGAAGGTCAGTGTTGCATCATAGCCTCCTGATCTTCTGACGCATCATAGGAGATCCGTTGGTTATACCACCAAAAAGAGCATAGCCGACAAAATTCTGTCATTTTTGGCTTTCTGATGGGGCTTTTAGCGTGAGGATGGAATGCTCACTTTAGAATCAAAATTGTATCATTCAAGTTGAGTATTGCAATGCTGAGATATTAGATCCGTGATGGCGAACCTATGGCATGAGTGCCACAGGTGGCATTCAGAGCCCTTTCTGCAAGCACATGAGCCCTTGCCCCAGCTCAAGTCTACCACGCATGTGTATGCGTCTCCCGCCAGCCAGCTGATTTTTTGGTCTCTGCTGCACATGCACGGGGAGGTGGGGCGCATGTGGGAGACGTGTGTGCATGCGCAGGGAGGGTCATGCATGCACATACGGGGTGCGGGGAGCATGTGGGGGTCCAGTGCCCCATTTTTTTGTTCCAGGACGCTGCAGGGAGGCCTGCTAGGCCAAAACGGGGTGCGGGGGGTCGCATGCGAATGTGTGTGGGAGTGAGGGAGTGTGGGGGGAGCGTGCGCGTGCGCAGGGGGAGCACAGGGGGGAGTCGCGCGTGCATTGCATTATGGGTGCTGGCACACACACGCACATGCTGTCGCACATGGGCGCACTTTCAGCAGGCAATGACAAAAAGGTTAGCCATCACTGTACTGGATCTCCCACACCCCATGCAAATGGGGTGTGGGAGAGTCCATTTATAGGCACAGTCCTGATACGGCATAAGGACAGTAAAGAAGTAACAACTTTGCTCCACAAAATAACGCCTGAAAACAAGTTCCATGTCTTGGAGGAAAAAAACCCCAGATATAATAAAATGAATTTAATGTATGATCTTTATTTAAAATGCAGAGCAAATAACTGAAATATATGATGTAATTTCTGAACGCTGTGTTCCTTCCTTGTTTCCCTTCTGCCCCCCCCTCCCATCTTACCTTATCATGACCATAATGCAGTTGCCCATTCTAGACATCATTTATTTATTTAGTATATTTAGAGGCCTCCTGATACTCGGTAGTTTACACTTAAAATGGGAAAACAATAAAAAAGAATCTCAAGTGTCCAGACAAATCCTGTCACAACCTCCCACAAGGCCTGGGAGAACAGCCAGTCTTCTCAAGAGTTACAGAACATCATTTTTTAAAATTGATTGATTATGTCTTCTCAAGCTGGTGTTGATGCTTGGCAGCCACATAGATAGATTTTTCTCTGAGAAACATAATCAGGATGGATGCTATTTGGATCTCTCTAAAGGGATAACTTTCCAGAGGACAGGTGCTTCAACACAGATGCTGCTTGATGGGTCTTGATAGATGGCATTAAAATCATGCAGGAACAGTGTCAATTAAGTAGGAGGCCATTTCAAACTACCACCAAAAAAGCAGTGTCTACACCCTTCATAGTATATATTGTTTATGATATGCAGGTACAACTCTCTTCCAATGCAATTTGCATTAATTATTCTGGGCTTTTGTTTTGAAACTTGCTCATTCCACAGCAAGATATTAAATGCCTCAGATGATAAATATGGACTGCCACATGATATGAAGGCTGGTCAGAGAAGTGAACGCCTGGAAAAATACATAAATGCAAATTTAAAAAGTTTTCTTCCTCCATCCTATATTTTTCTAATTTTCCCAGGCTTTATGGCCTCTGTGATTGATAACTTAGATTTGGATTTGTTGAAAATCTTAAAGTTGTTTCTTTCTTAAATAGGAAATTAAAGATAGTGAATCTCAAACAATATCAGTGAAGAAGAAAACTAGGAGACATTAAAAACAAGTCAACGTAGTTGAATAGGCAGCTTAGGAAGGAGCTGAGTCAGCTGAAAAAGATGCTTATATGGAATGGAAGGTAAGAGAAACAGCTGAGGAAGTTGATAAATGTAGCAAAGAGGTTAGGAAGGCAAAGGTAGAAAATAGCATCAGGTTTCTTCAAATAAGTCAATAGTAAGAGGAAGGCAGAAGAAAGGAGAAATCACTCTTCGTTCAAGTGAAGAAATCTTGACAGATGACAAACAAACAAAGGAAGTCAACTGCTATTTTGCTTCTGTATCCAAAGGAAATGGTCATTTGAGTAATATCGATTTTAGAAGAATATTCATAGAGAGGATTGAAGTCAGTAAAGATGTGGTAAAAGAACCGCTTTGAATGTCTTCAAGTCCCCAAGCCTTGAGAAGTGCATCCTACAACAGTGAAGCTGTTCGTGGAAGACAGTTGGGACTCCCTTCAAAGTTTGCATGACAAAAGACTGGAGGAGAGCAAGTGTCTTCTTCCTCTTCCTACTTCTTCTTCCTACTTCTTCCTCCTCTTCCTTCTCTTTCCAAAACAAAAAACAAAAAAAAGATCCCAGTAATTATTGACCAGTCAGCCTAATATTAATAGCTAGAAAGATGTTACAGTAGAGCAAATAATAAGCATGTCATTTGTAAACTTGTAAATGGTGCTTTCATTGCTAAGTGTCAGCATGGTTTTGTCAAAAATAGGTCATATGAGATATTATCATCTCCTTGGACAAGATAATTACTTTAATGGAGTATGGGAATGCTATGTATATAACCTATTAAGAGAAGAAAGTGGAGATGGGTGTGGACCAGCTCATCCTCATCCTTCGAACTAGTGTCAAGAGAGGAGACTGGTGGTGTGTTCATTACACATAGAGCGATTGTTGCCCTGGTACCATTGCAACCCCTCTCCCGTCTATCTATTGGCATACAGTCTAAAAATAATAGTCATTTCTGATTTACAATTATATTGTAGTCCCCTCTGCTTTTTCTATTTTCAAATTTTCTCACAATTTTACTGGAGTTAAGCAAGAATTACATTGCTTAACAATGACACAGGATTTATTATTTTTATTTATTAGGTATCCTTGCTGAAAGAATTAGATTCATTATTTTTTCCTTTTTTAAACAGTTGCTGGGATACAAATGAGCATAGTGCTCCTTGGTGGATTATACGAGTACCAATCCTAATTTCCATTTTAGTAAGTAAATTCAGCATTGGAAATGAATTACGTTAATGTAATTTTTCACACTAGCTTTTTATACCTTGAAATTTCATGCACAAGTGTTGGTCTGGGCAAAAGTCTAATATTTTTCATTATTAATTTTAAATGCATCCTTCAGCACCAGAAGGAGAGGCTGAGGTTCCCACAAAGCAGCTAATAATAAAAATTTAGAAAGAACAACACATTACCGCTATAAAAAGCAATTCCACAGTCCTAAAAACAGCAACAAAAAACCCCAAACATTGATATTCTTTCTATTAAATAATCCCTGGTGAATTTAAAAAACCTTAGCCTGCTTTCTGAAAGAGTAGCTACGTTTTATTTATTTATTTAAATTTATTGGCTATAAGTCCAATGGAATCTGGCCAGTGGGCAAAACTTAAAAAGACATAACTGCCAAAAATATTAGACGGAAAGTCTTTCCCATCATTAGTTCGACAAAAATCAAACATTTTTCCATACTGAATGTTGATATTATAATAACTGCCCCAAATTTAGTTCTTACGTATAACTTACAGAATTATAATTCAACAGTATCTCTCCAAATTGCAAATACATGTTGTCCTTCCACATAGGACTACAATTGGGACAAGAAGTCCTGTTGCTAAGCAAGGCAGCTGTTAAATGAGTCATGTCCAATTTTATGACCTTTTTATTTATTGCTGTGGATGTTAAGCAAATCAACGTACTTCTTAAGTGAATCATGCAATCTTTTAAGTAAATCCAGCTCCCCCTCCCCCCAATTGACTTTGTTTGTTGGAAGCCAGTGGAAAAGTTTGCAGATGGTGAGATCACAAGATCCTGGGATGCTCTAAATATATGCCAGTTGCCAAGGGCCTTGATTTTGATTGCATCACCATAGAGGGTCGTAAGTATGAGGATTGATCACTTTTTCAGTGCCATTATAACTTCAAATGGTTGCTAAACAAATCATTCTAAGCTGACCTGTGTAGAATTATTTACTTGTTTGTTTCATCCTGCCTTTGTTACTTCTACAAATAACTCAAGTCAACAAACATATCCAATACACCTTTGTCCTTCCATTTTCTCTACAACAACAACCTTGTGAGCTGAGTTGGGCCAAGAAAGATCACCCAGCTGGCTTTCATGGCTAGGGTGGGACTTGAACTGACAGCCTCTTGCAGTGCTGAAATCTAAAATGTGTTACTACGGGTTCTGTGGGCGTGGCTGGGGGGGGTAATGTGACTGGGTGGGCGTGGCCAATTTTTTTTCTTTTAAAACCATTTTTTCTACAACCTCTTCAGTGAAGAGGTTGTAAAAAAATGCTTTCAAAAGGCTCTGACAATCCCAGCTGAGTTGCCTGATCGGCAAAGGCTTTTTTTTCTTTTAAAAGCCTCTGCCAATCAGGCAACTCAGCTTGGATCGTCAGAGGCTTTTAAAAGAAAAAAAAACCTCCGCCGATCAGGCAACTCAGCTTGGATCGTCAGAGGCTTTTAAAAGAAAAAAAGCCTCTGCCGATCAGGCAACTCAGCTGGGATCATCAGCTGACGATCCCTTTGACGATCCTAGCTGAGCCGCACGATCGTCAGAGGCTTTTTTTTTTTTTTTTTTACTTTTAAAAGCATTTTTCGGCCGAAGAGGTTGTAGAAAAAATGCTTTTAAAAATTAAAAGAAAAAGCTCTGATGATTGTGCGGCTCAGGTGGGGGTGGGGGTGGGGGTGGGGGTGGGGCAGGGATTTTTGCTACCAGTTCTCTGAACCACCCGCCTCCATCACTACCGGATAGGGCGATCCGGTCCAAACCAGGAGCATTTCACCCCTGGCCTCTTGCTTTTAGCCTTGTACCTTAGCCACTAAACTGGTTTATGATGTGTAATACTAGTTATATTACACTAATGTAATATTAGTGTTAATGACAATAATATGGTGGTAGAAATGATGGAAATAGGACTTTAGTAAAGGACCAGAAGAGAATCTTATTGTAGCTCCTAATTTAAGGAAAGAATATAATTCTGAGACAGACGAATGGATAGGTGTATTTATACAGAGGCCTGTCTATCTCTCTTTGTAAGAGTTCATTTCATAAAACCCTACCTAAAGGTCAATTAATCTTTTCAAAAGATTCAGAAGGATAAAGTTATTATAAATATCTTTTCCCTCTCTTTAATTATCTTGCAATGTCTTTATAAAAAACTGAATATTCATGGACAAGTTTGTGGTTGGTAGGTGATCAACTCTTAAAATTCAGTCCAATATTGATTTTTTTACCCCAAGATAAGCTTCCCTGAATTCCCTGTGAATTGATTCTAAGTGGATGAACATATGAATGAATCAGGTGGTATTCAGCCAGTTCAGACCAATAGTGGAAATTGCAGGTGTACCCGTCCTGGCTCTATGCAGTCCTATTTAGGCATGTTTTTGAGGCCGGGTGCATGCGTGGAAGGGACACGGACACGGGGCAAACCGGTAGTAACAGAATGTGAAACTCACTGCTGGAATGAATTATATGCTTTCAATTTGATGTATATTTAACTTTTAATATATGGTGTTAGATACACCAAAATGTAATTCTTTCTATATTTAACTGTGAGCACATTTTAATCTGCATGTTAAGGCAATATTTTTCATCTTTGCAACTTTAAAATAGATGAATTTCAACTTCTAGAATTTGGTCTGGGAATTCTGGGAGTTGAAGTCCATCTATCTTAAAGTTGCCACAGTTGAGAAACACTGCAATAAGTTTCTTTTTTTTCTTCTGAACATCATTACAGGATTTAATTTATCAGTGAACGGTTGGAAGAACTATGCATTATGATTATAAATGCCTCTGTTAATTCTTTCATAGGTAAATTTTATCATTTTCATTAGCATAATAAGAATTCTGCTGCAGAAGTTAAGATCGCCAGATGTGGGAGGCAATGAACAATCACAATACAAGTGAGTGAAATGCAGGGCTCTGTATGTCTCTTGATGGAGGCCCCTGTTAGAAAAACACAAATCAGAGGATCTCTGACGTATCCTAATGGGCTTATTTTATGTGTTTATTTTTAAGGAGACTTGCAAAATCAACGTTGCTTCTGATTCCGCTTTTTGGTGTTCACTATGTAGTGTTTGCAGTCTTTGGCGTTTCAGACTACCATCAGATGGTTTTTGAATTATGCCTGGGTTCTTTTCAGGTAGTAGCCAAGCAAGTTTTCTTCTTAAAATAATTCTGATTTAATTTTATTGCTGTGTTTTAACTTTTTAATACTTTGCTCTTGCAGGGACTAGTTGTTGCAATCCTGTACTGCTTTATGAACAGTGAAGTAAGTTTATATCTTCTTGGGATAAGATTGGGGGCAGTGACAATATTTCAGGAAATTATGCTGTTGTTTAGTTGTTGACAGAAGCCCTAAGATTCACTTTCCAGTATATGGCGGTAGGACTGAGAAAGGGCCATCTGGGCAGGGGGATCACTTCAAGTGAGAGTAGATGGAACCTTGTTTTAAACATTTCAAAAACCATAGCTTGTTTTAAATCATAGTTTGTTAAAGAGACGGTTGTAAAATGAGTACTTTGTCACAGGAGTGGAATCAAGAATTCCCTTCTTTCCTGGTTATATTATTTGAACACGGGTAACTTCCTTCCTTCCTTGCTATTTTTAAAAATGTATTAAACCTGGTTCAGCGTTACATTTCTATTGTGTGTTTCCATCTTCAAGCTAGCCACCAATTTTCCAGAGTGTGGTTAAAAGAGGCTCCAGGAGCCCCTCGAATGAGTCTGAAGGCCACTTCTTGCCTTAAAGTATAGTTTACAAATCACAGTGCCTGGATATACTGTATTTTTCAGACTATAAGATGCTCCGGACTATAAGACACACCCAGCTTTTGGGGAGGAAAACAAGGGGGGGAAAATCTGCCTCTGTCTCCCAGCATCCATCTGGTATTCATCTGGCCTGTTTGCCGCGCCCTGTTCACCGCTGCAGCCCATTTGCTGTTGCCTATTCAGCGTGGCCCATTTGCCGTCACCCATTCAGCACAGCCCGTTCTAGAATATTTGATTGGTGCCTCACCAACCCCCTCCCCCTGCCGCAATATTCGGAGTATAAGACACACAGACATTTCCACCCACTTTTTTTGGGGGGGGAAGTGCGTCTTATACTCCAAAACATACGGTAGCTAACATACTGTTGGATTAAGCAAAATGCATCCTGGTATGACATGTGAACCCAACCATTCAGCTAACCGGAATAGTGCAGGTTTCTGCAGGAAGGCCTTTTTCCCAAAAAGATGGAAATGCAAAGCCGGAGAGGTATTATAGGCTATGACTCTGGCGGGAAACATTGTATTTTTGCAACCCAAATCAAGCACCAATCCAAACTTGAAACATGGCTGGTGAAGACTAATAGGGAAAAACTGGGTTCTTCAGTAGATAGGATTGTAAATGTCTAGAGTAAAATAAGGAGAGTGTTGGATGATTTGTTGAGATTTTATAAGCTCATGCTTGTGACATTAGGGAAGCATCTACCCACCTTCCCTTCTGTGGGCCTCTTCCTCAGTTATCTTTGAATTTTTTTCAAACATCTGGATCCTTTTTTGCTTTGGTAGGATGTATCCAAAACATTTAAGCTTTAGCTTAAGTGTTACTGCTTCTACTGAACATTAATTGGATTCAGCGCCACCAAAAAGTAAATATAGTGATAACCTGCAAGTTTTTAATCAGCTAGCAACTATCTTTTTCTGCTGGGAGTTACTGGGTGAATAACTTTCAGATATTTTCAGATGCCTGTAATCTGCTGGGTTTTAATTTGGCACTAACCCAAAATTTGGAAGTAAAAGTTCCTGAGCTAAGAGAGATTTAGTTTCAAATAAGCATGCCTAATTTTCAGTATGTAATTAAATTTTTCCTGTTTGCTTTTAGGCTCAAAATCTTTGCTTAGAAGTTAAGAGAGAGATAAAAAGTATCTTGAATTCAGTTTTTTTGGCAGCTAAAGAAACATGTCCCTATTGTTGATAGTATTGCTTTTCTTCCCAGGATGTTTGGGTTTTTCTCAGTCTAGTGCCAAATCGATTTGATTGGGTGTTTTTTTTTTCACCGCCACTTTAACACCTTTAGATTTGAAATGCTTTGAATAAATGAGCTTTGTATTTTTTTTATTCTTTTATCAGCACCCCAATTATAGTGCAGCATATTGTCAAGAAATTTCAATACATAGCATAACAAGTTGTATTTATAAAAAGTAACTATAATGCAGTTTTATTAAATATGGGAACCTTCGTATAATTCCCTTTTCCTTTTATTTATTTATTTATTTATTTTATTATTCACATTTCTATGCTGCCCACTCTCCAAGGACTCTGGGCGGTTTACACCAAAGACAGTATACTAAATAGCATATTGCCCCCAGCAATCTGGGTCCTCATTTTACCCACCTCGGAAGGATGAAAGGCTGAGTCAACCTTGAGTCGGTGAGATTTGATCTGCTGATCTGCTGAACTAGCAGTCAGCTGAAGTAGCTGAAGTACTGCATTCTAACCACTGCACCACCTCGGCTCTCATCTTTATCTCACCTTGAGGGGCCCTTGGAGTTCTCTGAGCTTGGTGGTTTTCTTGCAGACATTTCATTACCCAAACGAGGTTAACATCATCAGACTGAAACGCCTGCAAGTAAACCACCAAGCTCAGAGAGCACCAAGGACTCCTTATTTCAACTAGGAACTACTGTACGTATATTATCTTGTGTTGGCATATTGCATATTCAAGCACGTTTTTAATCCCACAGTGAATTAATCCCAGCTCTGATAAATTCCATGTGGGTTTCCTGTTTGCTTTTAGGTTCGAGGAGAGCTGAAAAGAAAATGGAAGAGCTGGTGTCTGAATGAAAGAATGAGCCGCGATTACAAAGTTCACAGATCTTCTGTTTTTCCAAATGACTCAGAAGGTGGACCCCAGTCTCATAGCAATTCGGCCACACAGTTTTCTTCTCAAACGGAAACCTCGGTGATATAAGTCATCTAGGGGCCTACAGAAAAACTATGGGGCGTGTCCCTGGGTACATAGTTCATTCATTGTGCTATTTTCTAATGTGTAGAGTTTGTACTCCACTTTATCTGTATGTCGAGATAGAGGGATTTCCAGCCTAATGACAGCTATCTTTTGTACTTGCTTTTAGAACTTGGTTATGATGAAACCCTTTTTCCTCTATTAATTCCCCTACCCCGAAACTGTGTACGCTGCAAATAGCTGTAGTAGTTTAATAGTCACCATTCACATTTGGTTTAAACTTCTGGAAAGTCATCAAATCATGCAGCAATTAGTCTCATCTGTTGAAGAAATGTTTCTTTTTACAAAGTTTGTTCCAAAGACTATATATATATATAACGTTCTTGTCCTTTTGCAGAATCTTGACTCTCATTGGAGTAAATTCTGTGCAGGTAGTCCTTTTTAGCAACCATAATTGGGACCAGCAACTTGATCATTAAGCAAAATGATCTCTTAAGTGAAACATGATTTTATGATCTTCAGCTTTCCTTTGCTTCACAGACCTATGAAGCTCTTAAATGGGAGAACTGGTCACAGAATTACTTTTTCATTACCATTGTAATTGTGAACAGTCACTAAGCAGGATAGTCGCTAAAGGTGGACTACCTGTAGAGAAGCATGCTGCTGATATTTGCAATATCGTTTGATAGTAACCATGAATTTGCTTGGTCTTTAGAACCTAGAAGGATCATATGTACATAGCTCTGGCTTTCCATCCCAAACAAGCTATTTACAGAGGTGTGATTATGACCATAGTATTGGGGCTTGTGGTCACAGCTTGTTTGAGTTGTCATGTAGGTGAACACTTGAAGGGATTTGAATGCAAAGTAAAAATGGAAAACTAAATGTTAAGTGTTTGTGGCTTATCACAGCAGATTGTACTTTCCTGGCACGATGGAATAGATTGGAAAACATTTGAAAAAGGAAAAAAAATTCAGCATCAAACTTTTTTTTTTTTTATGTTTCTGTGATCTTCCAGATGCTGTCATTTATCAGTTTTCTCATATGTTGGTTTTAATACTATTTATTGTGTGCCTTTTTTTATATTCCCTATAATTTAAAGTATTTTGACTATTCCCAAGGCTTTCCTTTTTGTTAGCTTCTGTGGATTTCTGTAAAATAAGACTAAAGCACTTAAAGCGATGTCCCTGCCACCCTCCATAATGTTGTCCGGTTTTATTATATTTCCATTTGTTTTTAACACCTTGGCCATGGGATCCCAACAAAAAAATTTCCAATCTCTTTTTTATGAAGAGAGGGGCCATCAACACTAAAAGTGTAGTCATAAAAAAAGTCTTCTATTTTCAGATGTGTTGGGTTTGCAACTTCCAACACAACTTGTTTCATTAGGTTGCGCTTTTATAATGCTTGAAAAAAACAATGACCAACTGAAAAAAACAATGACCAACTTTTGTGCGTAGGGCCAGCAGCGGACCCCAAAACAAATAATTTCCCTGAGTAGTTTCATTTCTAGATTAATATTTATTATAGTATTTCAGCCAGAATAATAGTAACTCAATTATTTTCAGTTTTAGGGTGCCTCGTCCATTATACTGTGTCTCTGATCTGCGTTGCCTCTACAAGGAATGAGTCTAAAATACTTTGCTTTAGAATATTCAGCATATTTCATCTATTTGATGTCAATGACTTTTACAACACAGCCATATTATAATATTCTGGTGGTCCTGAATGGAAATAAGGCATAGTGATGAGCTAAAGGAATATTTTTCAAGATGCTGGGCTTTAAGTGCATTTGACTATTATTCCCAGACTTCCTTGTCAGCCAGAAAGAATACTGGGAGATATTATTCACACACAGTGGTCCTTATTTATCTACTGCCTTTTTCACAGTTACAGCATTGGTGAAAAAGTAACTTTGCAACCAATTCTCACATTTAAAACCTTTGCAAGGTTTTAAAACAAAAGAAAGCTGAAATAATATAAGCACAGTCACCAGTTTTACTAAAAAAGTGTTTTACTTAATTGCTATTCCCTGTTGTGATTGCTAAATGAGAATGATCTGTGTTTGAAATCTCCAGATTCTAGATCGGGGCTGTCAAACTCACATTGTCATGGAGTCATCACGTGACGTATCACAACTTTTTCCCCCTTTGCTAAACTGGGCGTGGCCATGGCCAGCACATGACACATCCGGCCCACGGGCCACGAGTTTGATACCTTGCTCTAGATGGTTTGTCTAAAACCAGTTAATATGCTTGGAATAGCAACTTGCTTTAAAATCAGAAAGTCAGGCATATATTCCTGGAAGCAGGTTCCATAAATTCTTCAGAGTGTTTCCTCTCTTTAGCTACCCTGTTTCCCCAAAAATAAGACCCAACCAGAAAATAAGTCCTAGCATTATTTTTCAGGATGCTCGTAATATAAGCCCTACCCCCAAAATAAACCCCAGTTAAGATTGTCAGCCAGATGGATGCATTTAGTACTGTATATCCCCCAAAATAAGACCCAACCAGAAAACAAGCCCTAATACGTCTTTTGGAGCAAAAAAATAATATAAGACCCGGTCTTATTTTCGGGAAAACACAGTATTGTATGAAAGCTGGTCTATGTATGCTGAACATTTTTTTTTTATTAATTAGTCTTCCTTTTATTGCCCCTAGAATGAAAAAGCTAGTTTTCTTAAGGAATGCACCCTCTTATAAAAGGTGAAATAAAAAAGCATAATTCTGCATACTCATAATGCTTTTTTGGTTTGATATAACTGTCTTTCTATGTTATCTTTTCCAATTTTCTTTTTTTTTTTCAGTGTTCTTTTCCAGTGTTTTTCAAATTGAAAATTGATTATTTTTCTTGAATTGAGTTTTTCTTGTTGGATCCATTTCTAAAAAGTTGAATAAGATCCAAACTGTGGAAAGAATTAACTGTAATTAAATTTTTAAGGTTTTTTTAATAACAAGATGAAAAATAAAAATTGCTTTTTTCTAGGATTGTTTTAGTTTTCTAGTCTAGCCTTCAAATTTAGTCTTTCCAAATATTAGCCTAAATTTAAGTTTAATTTAATCATCCTATGTTGGCTAGGCATAATGACAATCAATTTTTTAAAATAAAAGATGCATTGGAAACCATTTTTATATAACAAAACAGATTGAAAACCTAGCACCTCATTATAATTTGTAACCTTATTACAACATATAGGCTCAGGTTGTTTACAAGTAAGATTAAATGGAAAAAATCCACATTTTTCCATTTAAAAATTCTAGGGATATGGCTGTGCTTGGTGGCCATTGGACAAACTTAAACATCAATAGAGTCTTAAAATGGATCAATGGCTGTGTTTTTCCATAATACTCCTGCGACTTAAAGGAGCTGAAGTCAGTGCTCCAATCAGGAACTGAGCCTTCTCCCCAGTTTTTCTGGCTGATAAAGGAACCTTGGTGGCGCAGCAGACTAAAGTGCTGTTAAGTAGCACTTAGCTGCCAGCTGCCTGCAATTACTGTAAGTTCGAATCTCCCCAGGCTCAAGGTTGACTCAGCCTTCCATCCTTCCGAGGTAGGTAAAATGAGGATCCGGATTGTGGGGGCAATAAACTGATTTTGCATAAAAAGAATACCACTTGGGGGGGAGGGGGCGAAAGCCCTACTAAGCAGATATATACAAAAGTATGAAGGCTATTGCTTAACGCATTGTAAACCGCCCTGAGTCTCCAGAGAAGGGCAGCATATAAATCGAACCAATAAATAAATAAATAATAAATAGCTGCAAATTTATTAGCCCCAGCCTGATCTTGAGGCTCCATGATGGTCAACTGCCCTGCTGATACAGATGGTCCTTAACTTACAACTATTTATTTAATAAGCATTTAAACTTACAGTGGTACTGAAAAAAGTTCCTTATAACCAGTCCTCACACTTAACAACTGTCGTGCCAGGCCTACAGTCACATGATCAAAATTCAGGCACTTGGCATTTGGCATGTACTTATGATGGTTGCAACATCCCAGGATCATGTGATTGCCATTTGAGACCTTCCCAATCAGCTTTTGACAAGCAAACAGTGGGAGAACTGAGAACTGAGGCAACTGTAGTGATTTGCTGTAGTGATTTGCTTAACAACCATGCCAAAAAAGGTAAAATTGGGTGTGACTCATTTAACAACTGCCTTGCTTAGCAACGAAAGTTCTAGTCCACATTGTGGGCATTAGTCAAGGGCTATCTGTGTAAGGCAGGAATGAATCCCAGATAGTGAGATACTACAGCAGCACTATAGCCATTCCAGTAGTGTCTATTCTCAATTTTACCCCAGCCCATCCCCAAATACAGCTAATATTTTGTAACTATCTGGCAATTGCTGAATATATCAAATTATAAATATTGTTGGAACTAAGGGCTAGGTAAGTCATTTGTAATATGACTTTACATCGCAGTGCTGCTGACTGCCTGTTCAAAATTAACAAGATTGAAAAAAAAGTTTTGACATGATCTCTTTTTTAATAACCATAAAAGGTATAAACCAAAAGAGGGCTATTTTGTTTTGTTTTAACCTCCTGTCTTTGTGCAGCCATTGTAAAAGGACACAAAGCTGACAGGTTTTTATAAATAGAAGTGTGGAATATCTGCAGTCCTAAGAGGAAAGGGCATAGCCACGTTTACTTCTGTTGTCGCCTATGTCTGTGGCTTTCTTAAATAATAAACCACGTTTATGCTGCTGTACTTTTCCACAAGAGCTGCTTGTCCCTCAGAATCTGAAGAGGCAGGTTTCTAAGAAATAAACACTCCCCTTGCAATTAAAGTTGGATAGAGCAATCAGCAGCTTTTTCTAATTCTTTTATTTGGGCATATCATCTTCACCCTATTTACGCTTAAGCCCAGCCATTTATTCTCAGGTTTAGTTTCACAGCAGACCAGCACATGAGCAAAACCGCATTTCTAGACATGGAGCAAAGGTGTTTATGCATCATAAATGCCACAGATTCTGTTTTTCATTTGCTTGGTTGCCATCTTCCCAGCCTCTGAGAGATAACTGCAAGAAGGATCAGGACAGCTCAAGGCCCTTACTAAATTTCTATTGTCTGGTCCAGGAGCATCCTCAGGGGTATGGTATTTTTTAAAAAATGTCATAATGGCTGCCAGAAGCATAAAATTGAAGCTCTGCTCCTTTGTATACAAGTCAAAAACACAAGGCATATTAAAAAGAGGCAGAGCTTCAATCACACAACCATCAACAGGAGTTTTGGGACTCCACTCCCCACTTCCTTCAAATACTGATGAGATTATCTAGTTAGGTAATGAAATGTCTGCAAGAAAACAACCAAGATCAGAGACCATCAAGAACTCAGTTTGCAGATTCTTGTCCTGCTCTTAAGAGTTAGAACATGTATGTATATCTAGAAGATGTATAGCTTCTAGTCGATGTATCCTTCCCCTACCCTCAAATCAAGCCTTATATTTAGTTAAAGTCTAGGGGATCAATTTCTCCCTACTTTCTAATACTGTGTGAAAGAATGCAGGAAAAGCAGATACTGGACATTGGGCCCTAAGCAAAGTAACACTTCCCCCATGTTATCTCATGTTATCTATCTTGGAGACCTGAGTGAAAGGTGTTAAATCTGTAAAGATTGAGGTGGAAAGATTCATGCCTTCTAATAATGGCATAGAATTTTGTGATTCAAACATAACCCACTTATTATAATTACAAAACAGTTGTAATTTCAAAAATTTTACATTAGATAAAGTTAATGCCGTTTTAGCATGTAAATAGTTGGTCAGCTTTATTTTCCAGTCGAGGGTTTCTCTTGAGCAGAACAATATGCTGGGAGAAAAGGATCTGAATCCAGAATATAAAAGTACTTAATCTATTTACTGTCTCCATATTTAATCATTTTTTCCTGTCATATTGAAAATTGCAAATTGATAGAAATCAAAGTTATGCATTTCTGAAACAAAAGAATTTGGAATTGATAAAACTGAAAATTAAATACATTCCATTGCATTATTTAAATTCGTATAGAATTTACTACTGTAATATTTCAGATTCAAAAGAAGCCATAGATGAGAAAGTTCATTTGCTATATATTTGATATACGATTCATTTGCTATATATTTGATATATGGTTCAGAATGCAAAGTTGTAAATTCAAGGCTTACGTTAGCCTTCATAACCTGGCGCCCTCAAGGTGAGTTGGATTTCAGTTTCCTAGTTTCTTAGCCAAAACATTTGGAAGGGATCCCACAATGAGGAAGCCTCATTTAGGTGTAAGTTCAGGATTTTATTTTCCTTTCTGTCATGGGCATTGCTGACCAATCAAATAATCAGCCTATTTTGTTCGAATATTTCTATCTATAAATTTTTCTATCTATGGATATTCTACCTCCCTACCACTCTGGCATTTAGCACAGACATGATGACAATATAAAGAGTTTTATTTCAATTATTATATAACTATCTTTTTAAAACCATGACTATGTTATCTTTATGAATGTGTACATGGCATTTTATATTAATTTTAGTCATGGTTTATATACATGGCATACAGATTTATCTTTATGAATGTATATACTACTTATAGATCCAGTTTGGTATTAAACATCAGGCTAGAAGCCAGAAAACCATGAGTTGTCCTGCCATCGGCACAAATCCAGCTAGGTGATCTTGGGCCAGTCATTGTCTCAGCCCTAAGAAAGAAGCAAACCAGCTTTGAAAAATCTTGCCATGAAACTGCAAGGTCCAGGTAGTCTCTGAAAGTTATACACAATTGAATGGAAGAAAAAAGGATATTTCCAAGATTTTTAGCAAACTTAATTTCACATCAAAATTTGATGTAAATGAATATTGCTTTCTTTTTTATAAGATGTACAGATTTATGAAAATATAGGTAAACAAATATACATAGAGCGGCCTTTGTATGTTCATTTGATTCTTATTATGCAATTTAAGCTATAAAGTATTTGACAAAATATATAGCAGCTGTGATTGTGAATTGTTATCTGCAATGTTTGAAAGTGCTTTAAAATATGCTGTATTGAACATAAAATCCCAAACACAGGTTCTGGTTCACTTTTTGCATGCATTTCCTGAATGCCTTTTTAAAAAATGCATTCAGGTAATTCAGCAAGGGCCAATGAAGACGGCATGGTAGTGGAGCTTCCAGAGGTATGGCAAATACAAAAGCACATCCCACCACAGGAACTGTTCAGTAGACTGATTCTTTGAAATCTCTCCAGATAGGGAGAGAGTAGAAGATCACCCACATGTGCTCCAGAGAGCTACATCTCACAAGCAGACAGCAAGATTGCAGTTTTCTATGGGTTTGAAGTCTTGAGAGTTGATGAAATCAAACTAAATCGAATCATAGCAAACTCACTTTCTAATCACTTTTGGAAATCACTCATTAACTACTTCTAAGCTATTGAAAATCTTTAGTTAGACAAGCCTGAAAATGCTGGTTGAGTCTGCCTTAATTCTGAATGAAATAAAAATTTAACCATAAACTTAAGAAATTAAAGAATCTGAAATGGGCAAAATGCTTACATTGATTCTGTATTATCACAATGATTATGATTGTTTCAGACATGTTTTTCCTCCAATGTTAGGCAGTGTTATTCTATTTGTAGCTTGCTTTGATTGTACTGTAATGGGTTGAGTGGATAGGCACTTTTTGATAAAATTGTGTAGTATCCATTTTATTAAAGGATGTTGTATAGGCAATCTGCTTCTTTTTTCTGGTGTTCTAGGTTGCTGCAGTGCATTTGTAGTGATCTGAATAATGTTCTTACACAGTTCTTGCAGGAAGTTGGATTGTTACCAAAAGCTAGTGTGGTAAATTGCTAACATTTCCTCTGATGATGAGAATATTCAGAGAGGTTCGGTGTTCTTGTGAATTGTATTCCTTTGAAGAGGTGGATTTTTTTCACATTTCTTTTCTAGTTGTTCCTTTTTTATTAAAATAAAGACGTCATCACATATTGGATCCATATTTTCAAGTGCTATTGTTTCTAGATGCTGCATTATGGTGCACTATGAGTTTTGAGAGTGGTGATCTCATGGATAATTTATTGCTATATTTGTCTATCAAATAGAAAATAGGTAGTGAGGCAGAGGTTGATGAGATCTACAATTCTGGGTGTTTCAATCCTCATGTATTTGACTAATTGAGTGTCTTGTTAGTTACTTCTGTTATGTTTGTTTTTTACTAGTTCCAGATCTATAGAAGAGTACATTCCAGTCATCTTCATTTCTTTGCACTTTGATTTTCTTCAAGCACTGTAGTTCATAAAATATTAATTCTCCTTTGTGAGTTGTCCAAGTTTTTTTGTAAGTTCTTTCACTCTGTTGTGTTTTGGGTAACAATACAACTGGATAAATAATATATTGGACTTGTGAATTTTGGGGTATCTGTAGAAGCGTGAGAGGATGGTCTTTTCATTCGCCTCTGTTTTTTAGTGATTTGATCTTTCTTAGTTAGGTTGTTGAGCAGATTGTCTAGTTTTTATATTTGGTTAGTGGGATGTATGTCTTCTAATAATTCTTTGGGGTTTTGTTTGTATGTATTATATTCTGGTTATGTTGACCTTTGTTGAAAGGATGGTGATGGTTTGGTCCTTCTTTAGGTTTTTGAAGGCTACTGTCTTCTATTTGAATATGTTCTGATTCTGTGTTCATCTGATCTCTGGTATGATTGTTTGCGTTCTTGGGTCTCTAAGGCAAGAAGTTCTGTGATTTTAAATGCTGCTTCTAATGCTGAAAAAATTGTGATTGATTAGTGTCATTTGTATTGAGGCCTTTTGGGAGCATATTGTATGATTTATAGTGGATAGTAAGCTGCTGGATGTATTGACTTATCTATTTGGGTTCATGTTATCGCTTTGCTTCTGGAATTTAGCTTGAGTAGTTTGGTTTGGAATTTTGTTTTCTTTTTTCAGCTTGTCTTAGAAATGTAATCTTGATTATGATTGTCAGCATTTTTGTACTTACTGGAGTTATGGTTTGTTCCAGTTGCTCCTTGAGGTTGTTTATGGTGTACCAGATGGCATCATCATGAAACACAAACCAAACAACTACTGTAATTTAAGAACTAAAAACAGGAGTCATCTACAATATAGAACAGACATGCAGAAAACTACAGAGTGCATCCATGGACACCCAACAGCAGTCAAAAGGCACAATGAAAACTCCTTAATTTCACAACACTTAGACAGACTCAAGCATAAAACTGGGAAACTCAGACCATCCTAGTCCAAGCCTGATCCAAAAATGCTAGGGAATTTCTGGAAGCATTCAGGCAAGTCAGCCATCAATGGACACATAGAGATAAACCAAATTTAAAAGAGCGTATAAAAAAATTAAGGAAACAAAAAGACCAGAATGCACTCTCTCCAATAGCCTGCACCCAGATAGGCAAGAATTAGCACCAAACAATCAAGCAGAAAATAATACCCTCCCTAATCAAGGTACTACCAAGGAGAAAACCATACCTCCAATACAAGCAGGGCAAATTACTATATATAAATAGGGAGCAAACTCCTCACATACTGGTACTGGGTAGTGAAAGGCATTCAAGCAAAAAACCAAGCTCAGAGAGCACTAAAGACTCCACTGTGAATCCTGACCTACAGAGATTGTCTTTTATTGTCTTTAATCTTGAAAATACAGAAATGAAGAAATTGTATTTTCTAGTGTTTCCTGTATGGCAAGTTTATTGTGTTCTTTCAGCTTTTTCAACAACTGTAATAATTAAATATTGATTTAATCTGAATACTTGGTCTAAAACCAGAGGTGGATACAATTTTCCCAGCATTGCCTTGGTGTAGAGGTGTCTCTTGCTTCTGCTGCTTCTAGCTCACCAAATAAACTGGAAAGATACCAGCAAGTGTTTTCTGTTGTGATTTTCCTGAACTTCTTGCGCTATTTTGGAATGAATGATCTATTGCTTTCCTAATTGAATATGCTATTGGAGCATGTGCTTTCTAACCAGTGAACCTTTGCCGTTAGCAATAGTGATTATCTGGATCAGGAGTGTCAAACTGGCGGCCCATGGGCCAGATGCGTCATGTGCAGGCCACACCCACACCAGCTCCACAAATGGGAAAAACATCGTGAAGTGTCACGTGACGGCAATGTGACGCAGCAAGTTTGACACCCATGATCTAGATGCAGTCTTAGGTTTATGGGAATGAGAGAGAGGAAGGGAGAGATAGGGAGGACAAAACGAAAGAGGGAAGACCAAACAAGAATGAATTATCCCAAAATGCCATGTAGACAAAAGGTTAGATAGATCCAAGAGTGAATGTGACATACATGTTGTCATCTATAATAGCCTAGGGAACACAACTCACTAGGAACAAAGAGATGCTGATCATTCAGAAATTATGCTAATGAGATGTGACTGACTAAGTGCAAGAAGATAACCATCAAAGTTAAATAGTTATCAATATTGGTCTATCGAGACAACTCAAGCCAAATGAAACATTAGCAAAGCTGCCACCAAGTATCTGGTTGAAGACTGTGGATTTAGCATTCATTTAAAAATTATATCAGTAGGCAGTAATAAAATTAGTTTTTAGATGCACATCTCTTTTCTGTGTTTTATCAAGAAGGAACTTTTCCCCCCTAAATAACATGCACCAGTATGACACAGCTCAATGTAAATTTATTCTATATAAGTATAATCCAAATAATTCTGTAAGAGATTGGATTATGGATCAGAAAATTTATAAATGGCTTCCCAATGAACTCAATTGATATTTAGATTAGCTATGTTTTCTTAGAACATCTATGAAAGGAACAAGAAAATTTATTTGATGTGGTTGTGTAAGGATTTCTGGATAATCTTTTAAGAGAAACACTGAATACTGTATAATCTTTGGTAGATAATCTGTGGGCCTCCAATATTTTTGGAATACAAATTACTAACTCTTGGGCATGGTCTCAATGGCTTGAGTTACGAACATCTACTGGCCTGCATTTGATATAAATGCTGTGTTTTCATATCATTGTTGCAGGAGAAGCCTCACCCAGTTAAGAAGGCAGAATTGCGCTACAATCTTTTTGACCATTTCATACAGATCTTTACTGCAGTGATGGGTTGCTCCCGGTTCTCCCCAGATCGGGCGAACTAGTAGTGGCGGTGGCAGAAGGCTCTGCCCATCTGCCCAGATATCATCAAAAACGATCTGCAGATACGTAGAAGCTTCTGTGCAGAAGTGCTGTGTGCTCACAAAGCGAACGAGCGTGCCTGCACGCTACCAATAGCGAACCGGTAGTGCCAGGTTTTGAAACCCATCACTGCTTCACTGTTGATCCTTTGTTTGGAATAAAAATAGCACTTCACAGTGCTTTACAGCCCTCTAAGCTGTTTACAGAGTCAGCATATTGTCCCCAACAATCTGGGTCCTCATTTTACTGACTTCTGAAGGATGGAAGGCTGAGTCAACCTTGAACCGGTGAGACTTGAACTGGTGACAGTTGGCTGTCAGAAGAATTAGCCTACAATACTGCATTCTAACTACTGCGTCACCACGGAATGAATTTAATTTAATTTAAAATTACATAGAGACACATATGCAGCTGGCATAAAAAAGCCACAGTTGAAACCTGGAAGCTTTAAAAAATAAAAGTCAACAATTTTCTACCTTCCTTCATGGCAACCCCTATGTGGAAGGGGAAGGGAGGAAAATCAAATTAAAAACAGAATTTCTCATTAAACGTTGCAGCTACATTCAAGTACATCTTGCACTGGTGAAGATGCCATTACCTGGCAACCACCAGAAAAGTGCAAAAAAGGCTTTTGAGTGCATTTGACACAAGACAGTATTTAACAGATGGAGTTCAGTCACAGGAGCTGTATTTCCCTCAGCCCATGATGGTGAACCTATAGCATGTGTGCCGGAAGTGGCATGCAGAGCCATCTCTCTGGGCACACCAGCCGTCGCCCATTGCTCTTCTGGGTGCCGGCCAGTTGTTCTTCGCACACAGGGGAGCACCGGAAAACGGAAGAACAGCTCCCTGGCATGCATGTGCATACTGGAAACCGGAAGCTCAGCTTTCCGGCGTGCACATGTGTGCCAGGGAGCTGCTCTTCCAGTTTCTAGTGCTCCCCTGCATGCATACTCTCTCGTTTCGGCACTCTGTGCCAAAAAGGTTCTCCAACACTGCCCTAAGACATCAATGTCTACTTTGCTTAATTCTTTAAGCAGTCAATGCAAGCCAGATTTGGCCATTTACAGTGATGCCATCATGTAGATGCAGATTACAGAATTCACATAATTGGTATAATGACATCATAATGTGCCACATCCATATATGTGTCAAGGAGGCATCTCCTTTCATGGGGAATTTAAGTGCTTGTTTGCAAGAAAAGTAGCAGTGAAAGATTTTCAAAAAGTTAAGGTACAGTAAGACAAGTCCCAACAGCATCTTGAAAGATAAACGTGATACTTGTTCCAACAAATGTGATACCTACAACCTGGCTAAATGACTGGCACAATGGAGATATTCCAAAGATCCCTGCATGGACTGCCCCTGTGACCATGTAGTACAGACCAGGAGGAAGCTAACTACCAGATTGCAAGAACATAAGCAAACGGTAAGACTAGGTGACCCAAACTCATTGGTAGCAATGAACAAAAACATATATTCAATTTTGCTGCTAAGATTGTTGGCCATGCAGATACAAAGATAGCCATGGAAATTACTGGAACCTGAGAAACGAACCATTTGTCCAGTCAACAGGAATGCTGATTTACCACCAGCATTGGCCATCAACACACCAATCAACCAATAGGAAGGCACCACATAAATACAACACATGGAATAGCCCAAAGCATACATTCCAGTAGAGAGAACTTTCCTGAAGATGAGAGTCCAAAAGCTCGGAAGACTAAACCTCTGATCCGATGACCGATCTAGATTGGATTCTAGACTTTAGCTATAGCTCCATTATATTCTTTAATGGACTTGATTGGGAGGGGACCCCTTGGTGCAGAGAGCTTGAGCTATTGCACCATGGAAGCTTTGTCCCCCTTGTATGCATGTGAATGATTGGTGTGGGATGGCACAGCCTCCAGCTCTTCAAGATGGGCCAAGAGAGGTTATGGATCGTCCTAAGGGCTATGAAGCGGGACATCACATCAGTACAGTGATGGGCATGGGTTGCTATGGGAACCAGAGGGCAGGCCAGTACGGGGGAAGACATGCCCAATGTTTAGTATCAGTGACATGTTCTGGCCCCCTGAGTTCACACTCAGTCCCTGGACAGCATTACCCTGGAGGCCTAGGGTTCCAGGATGCTGCTGCTTTTGAATGCTAGGTTAGTCAATAAAGCTCATTCAAAACCTTACTGATGAGGAACATGCCAATCTGGCACATATCATCGAAACCTGGCTGTCATAGGATGGGGAGATTCCCCTCTCAGAGATGTATTCAGCCGGATTTACAGCACCAGCCAAGATCCCAAAGTAGGGGAGGTGGAATGACAGTAGTTATCAGAGAGGAGTCTTCTGCCTTCATAGGCCCTGCTCTCCAAATTTTTGCCTCTGAGCCTGTTTCTGAGTCTGGGTTTACAGCATCAGCTGAGATTGTTGCTACTGTACCAAGCTCCCTGCTGTGTAGCAACTTCCCTGCCTGAGCTGGAAGTTCCCCAAACTTATCATTTTGGGTGTCCTGTTTCATGCCAAGCACACACACACACACTATTATACTTAGGTTTTACTAAAATGGAAGGATGAGAAACAGCTTAAAAGCCAGAGTTGCCCAACTAGTATTTTGAAAGACAAACAGATTCCACTTTGAAAGTTCACATCTTTGAGGAGATAAATTGTAGAATTCACTGACTTGATAGGTTAAAGGCTTTCTTTCTGGCAGAAGCCAATTTCTAAATTTACAATTTACAGACCTCTCACATCCTGGACTTAAGTTGTTTCAACTCCTACCCTCAAAACGACGCTATAGAGCAGTGGTCCCCAACCTTTTTATCGCCGCGGCCCGCTGAGCGCGCGCAGGGGTGGGAGCACGGCCCAGGAGCTTTTGCACACGGCCCATTGCGCACGGCCCAGGAGCCTTTGCGCTGCAGCGTTCATGTCCCCCGGCCGCTGCGCGGCCCGGTGCCAGGTACTCCACGGCCCGGCACCGGTCCGCGGACCGGGGGTTGGGGACCACTGCTATAGAGCATTGCACACAAGAACAACTAGACACAAGAACAGTTTTTTCCCAAATGCCATCACTCTGCTAAACAAATAATTCCCTCAATATTGTCAAACTATTCACTAAGGCTGCATTACTATTAGTCTTCTCATCTTTTCTATCACCTATCTCCTCCCACTTATGACTGCATGACTGTAACTTCGTTGCTTGTATCCTTACGATTTATATTGCTATTGTTTCCTAGTATGATTTGATTGCTTATTTGTACTCTATGACTATCATTAAGTGTTGTACCTTATGATTCTTGATGAATGTATCTTATCTTTTTATGTACACTGAGAGCATATGCACCAAAGACAAATTCCTTGGGTGTCCAATCACACTTGGCCAATAAAGAATTCTATTCTATTCTAAAGAGGTTGCTGACTACCTAAAAGCATTATGAAGCTTCTTTTATTCCTTAGCTGTCCAAATACACTTCCTGAAAGGGCTGATGTGTTTTTGCTAGGCAGCTGTTAAATCTGCCATTGTCTTTCGAAGATCTAACAAAAAGTGGGTCTTTGCAATCACCTTTAGAGCTAGAACTGTGTTGGAGTTCTAGAGCAGAATGGGGAAAGTTTTGTTCTACGCCCAATTTTGGCACAAAATCTACATGAACTTTGGCCCAGTCCCTCTCCCTCAGCCTGGCAATCTTGGCAAGTCCTGTTCTGATAAGCTATCAAGAG